GGCCGAGAGGCTTGGTCTGGCTGAGGATGCTACTGATAACCTGGGCCAAATCTGGCTCCATTACCATCAAGGTATGCTATTGTATGGTCCCTGTGCCAAGCGATAGGTCAGTAGCCCTGTTCCTCAGGGAGCTATGTGCGCAGACTGGTTGGGTCCGGGTGGGGCCGAGAGGCTTGTGATGTCCTGGCCCAAATCTGGCTCCATTACCATCAAGGTATACTGTTGTATGGTCCCCGTGCCAAGCGATAGGTCAGTAGCCCTGTTCCTCAGGGAGCTGTGCGCGCAGACTGGTTGGGTCCGAGTGGGGCCGAGAGGCTTGGTCTGGCTGAGGATGCTACTGATGTCCTGGGCTAAATCTGGCTCCATTACCATCAAGGTATGCTATTGTATGGTCCCTGTGCCAAGCGGTAGGTCAGTAGCCCTGTTCCTCATGGAGCTGTGCGCGCAGCCCGGTTGGGTCCGGGTGGGGCCGAGAGGCTTGGTCTGGCTGAGGATGCTACTGATGTCCTGGCCCAAATCTGGCTCCATTACCATCAAGGTATGCTATTGTATGGTCCCTGTGCCAAGCGGTAGGTCAGTAGCCCTGTCCCCATGGAGCTGTGCGCGCAGACCGGTTGGGTCCGGGTGGGGCCGAGAGGCTTGGTCTGGCTGAGGATGCTACTGATGTCCTGGCCCAAATCTGGCTCCATTACCATCAAGGTATACTGTTGTATGGTCCCTGTGCCAAGCGATAGGTCAGTAGCCCTGTTCCTCAGGGAGCTGTGGCGCAGACTGGTTGGGTCCGAGTGGGGCCAAGAGGCCCGGTCTGGCTGAGGATGCTAGCGATGCATTGGCCCAAATCTGGCTCCATTACCATCAAGGTATGCTATTGTATGGTCCCTGTGCCAAGCGGTAGGTCAGTAGCCCTGTCCCCATGGAGCTGTGCGCGCAGACCGGTTGGGTCCGGGTGGGGCCGAGAGGCTTGGTCTGGCTGAGGATGCTACTGATGTCCTGGCCCAAATCTGGCTCCATTACCATCAAGGTATACTTTTGTATGGTCCCTGTGCCAAGCAATAGGTCAGTAGCCCTGTTCCTCATGGAGCTGTGCGCACAGACGGGTTGGGTCTGAGTGGGGCCGAGAGGCTTGGTCTGGCTGAGGATGCTACTGATAACCTGGCCCAAATCTGGCTCCATTACCATCAAGGTATACTATTGTATGGTCCCTGTGCCAAGCAATAGGTCAGTAGCCCTGTTCCTCATGGAGCTGTGCGCGCAGACCGGTTGGCTCCGAGGGGGGCCGAGAGGCTTGGTCTGGCTGAGGATGCTACTGATGTCCTGGGCCAAATCTGGCTCCATTACCATCAAGTATGCTATTGTATGGTCCCTGTGCCAAGCGATAGGTCAGTAGCCCTGTTCCTC